ACAGCTCCTCCCTTCGATTTAAGGGGCTCTGCTCGCCTAACAGCTGGCTGTATAGCTCAGTGGTTTAGGTCTCTGGCTGTGGAGCCCGAGGCTGGGAGTTCGATTCCCCCACTGGGCATCTCCTGGGAGAAAAGCCAGCCTGGGCAGGCTTGGGCCAGCTGCACATCGGTCCCAGAGAATGGTAAAAAGGGAAGGGTAAACCACTTCTGAATTCTCTCTATCTGGAAAACCATGAAAAGGTCACCAAAAGTCAGAATGTGGGGAGTTCAATTCCCTGCCGTGCATCCCGGAAGATGGGTGGCCCTGGGCAAGCTGGACAGTCCCATGACACCCCCAGAAGAAGGGAATGGGAAACCACTTCTGGATATTATTTACCTGGAGAACCCTGGAAAGGGGAAATATGGGGAAATATTTCTAAGTCAGAACTGACTTCATAGCACACAACCAGACACCTAACCAGCATGATTAAAACAACAGATACAGCCTTAAAATATTGGTTGTAATATTAGAATAAGCAGACTCTCCTATTGAAACGATAATAGAGTTTAAAGCCGTTTTAAAAAGCATCAGTGGCTGGAATCCTGTTAAGATTTTACTCCCAGGCAAATGAAATCGTGGGTGAAGCAGCCTTCTGCCACTAATTTAATAAGGTTCTGGGTGCTTCACCAGGGGGTGTGATTGACACTTTGCAAAGTTCGTTGCCATTGGCTGCCATGACTGAATGCAATTTCACTTAGTTTGGAGTAAAATTCCGATAAGATTCTGACCGGGGAAAAGTGCATCAATGCCTTCCCTCTGCAGCTCATAAGCTGCAAAGAAAATGTGGTGAAATGTTAAAAACTTTGCTTGCTGATAGGATATCAGGGAGCAGGCAGCCTGGTTCTCCTTGGAAGGACCTTCTCCGAAACCTGGGAGCAGCCACCAAGAAGGCCCCGTCAGACATCTATGGAATTACACCTGTAAAGTTCATGTCGTTCTTCTGTTTTAGTCTTGCAGACTGCTTGAAAGACAGAACATGTAAAGTTCATGTCGTTCTCCTTCTGTTTTAGTCTTGCAGACTGCTTGAATTTTTAACATGGATGAATGGATGGATGGATCTTCTGTCTCTATCCACAGCAGTATGACAGAGAAAATAAAAGCCTAAAAGTACAGTTCCATCCATGCACACAGCTTGTGTGGGTTAAGCTACCATTTTTTCTGGCATGTGTGAAAAAGTGAAGGAAAGGAAAAGAAGCCAAACGAGACGTGGGCTTGAAGGCAGAGGAAATGATGTCTTTGAATTTAACGTCAGGAGGCCTTTCTCTACCCATTTGGGCTGTTTGATGGCATTTATTGCAATGGAACCAGAATGATTCTTTGCTCTTTTCATGCTTCATATATATATATATATATTCAGGAATACTGAAAATGTGAAGTTCTCAGTTTTTTTTAACGGCTCAGAAGGTGTAAAATGGGTTTCCTTTCAAATTGAGGTATGAAGATTGCACATACGTTTCTCACTGCTTTCAGGTGATCCTGCTTCCTTGAGATCTTTTGTTTGCATGGTGCCTTTTCAAGGAAAATGGCAGAGTCTCAAAAGCCTGTGGCTGGAGCCTTATTGGCAATTTAGAGTTCTGCGCAGGAACCACATTAAGTCATGGTAGCAAATGGCCACTTATCGGGGAGATGCTGGGTGCATTTGCTAGTGATCCTATCACCTCTCTGCCTTCGCTTCTCCCGGCTCATCGGGCCCAGCTCCCTCAAGGGCTTGGTTTCCCGATCCTTCTCCTCTTGGTTGCCTTCCCCTGGACATGCACCAGCTGGTCAGCATCCTTCTTCTGCACCTAATGGTCTGGACTTTCTTTCAGAAGGTTTGGTCCAGAAGTTGCAGCTGGTGCAGAATAAGATTGCTAGGTGTTATTCTGGGCCATCTTTTCAACAGCATGTATAACGGTTTGCTTAAATAATTCTCCTGGCTACCCATTTGCTACCAAGCCAGGTTTAAGGTTTCTCAGTTGACCTATGAAGCTCTCTAGACAACTGGAGGTCAAGCTTCGGAGTCTCCCTTCAGCTCCCCGTCCCTTAACGATCCTCAGAAGGTGGACCCTTGGCGGTTCCTTAGGCATGCTCCTGAGGGTCGCTTTGTGAGTATGTGGCTAGAGAGCATCGTGTGCTCTGGACACACTGCATCCTATTTCACAGGGTCTTCCGGCAGATCCTTGCACAGCAGATTTTTTTCCCCCTAGTTTGGACCTCTCTCTTCACCCAGGCTTTCCCCGTGCTCCAAATCATTTTACAGTTTTCCTGTCCACCAACAGCAGAACTGATTACTGCTTATGGCATTTTAATTTTGCATTCCATTTTCTGGGATTGTTACAGGGTCTGCTGGGGAGCCCTATTTAAGCGTGTGCTCGAGGAAGCAGCGGGAAAAGGTGCTGGGTCCTGTCAAGCCGTGCAGGTTGATGTTCCGGTCTGGAGTCAGTGGCCCTCCCTCATCAGGGCTCCATGGTGGAGCTTGGCTTTGAAATAACCCTGCCTGGGCAGCCCAAGGGAGTTGGGACTTTTGACGACTTTCCCAGGGTTTTCTAGGCACAAGAGTACTCAAAAAGAGTACTCAAAAAGTACTCAAAAAGGATTTTCCGGGCTGTCTTTCCAGGGGTCCTCGGGGACCACCCTGCAGCTTGCACAAGGCAACCCCATCAACCTCCCCCCCCCACCCCCCCCCACCCCAGGTGATCTCTG